GTTTTGGTGTTATTACATATGCATTTTATATATTTGTTGTATCTTTTGGTATCCTGTATGAGCATTTCACTCTTCATCTGTAATAATACTTGTGTTTTATCTATCTTGTCTTCTATTATAAATATTTTAGCTTTCTTTTGGCTGCTTTCTACATACAGATTAATCTTTTTTTATCTATTCTGCCAACATCTACCTTTTGATTACATTAACACATCCATGTTTTATATCATGATTGAAATAACTGGATTTATGACTGCCACTTAATTTTTTGTTTTGTATGTCTCATCTCATTTGTTCCTCTATTCCTCCTTTACTCTTTTCTTTTGCAGAGTATCTTCTAATATAGAATTTTTCAGTTATTTAAATTATTTTTTGTTTTATTTTTGAAGATTTTTAAAGTAGCTGCTCTTTACCATAGATATCACAATTTAACGGAATCACCTTCAGATTTATATTAGGTTAATGCCAATGGTAAAAAACATGCTATGCCTACATAGCTATATTCCCTTTTTATGATACTAATGTTATACATATTATATCTACTAGTATTACATACACAACAATATATTGTTTTAACTATTTCTCATGATCTGTGGTCATATCTTTAACCAAGTACAGATTAGTTCTCATCTATTTCCTTTGTGCTGTTATTATTATATACTTATAGCTCATTTCTCCACTAAGCCCATTGTTACATTAGGTACATGGTATTTCATATAATTGCTTTTTTTAATTTATTTGACAGAGTTAAAGACAGTGAGAGAGACTAGAAAGATCTTCCTTCTGTTGGTTCACCCCCCGAATGGCTGCAAAGGCTGGCATATAATTGCTTTTAAAATCAGTTATGGGAAGAAATGAGAATGAACATTTACATTATTTTTAATAATATAACTTTAATAATTAACTTTATTGGTGCTGTTTTTCATGTGGGTTTAAATTACTATCTGGAGGTTTTTTTTTTTTAGATTTATTTGAAAAAGAATTGCAGTGAGAGAGGGAGAGAGATCTTCCATCCACTGATTCATTCTCTTAATGACCACAAGGATGGCGACAAAGCCAGGAGCTTCATCCAGGTCTGTCCTATGGGTCACAAGGGCATGTCATCTTCCACTGCTTTCCCACATGCATTAGAAGGGAGCTGTATTGGAAGTGGAGTAGCTGAAGGGAGCTGTATTGGAAATGGAACAGCTGCAACTCAATCCAGAGTTCACGTGGGATGCTGTTGTCACAGGTGGTGGCTTAACCTGCTGTGCCACAATGCTGGCCCCAAGTTACTAGCTTTCAATTTCCAGAACAGGTATGCTAGCAGCAACAAATTCAATTATGTTCCTCTGGAACAACCTTTAATTCATTTTTATTTTTGAAAGAGTTTTGCTGAATATAGGATTATGGATTGACTGTTTTTTTTTCCCTTTGGACACTTTTAATGTCATTCCACTGCCTTGTTGTTTGTTCTTATTAGAGAAGTTTTCAGCCATTATTTCTCTCTTGCCTTTCCCTTTAATTTTACTATTATACAAATATTGACATGCGTAATGTCCCACATTTCCCTGAGGTGCTGCTGCTTTTTCATTATTTTATCTGTTCTTCAGCTTGCATAATCTCTATTGATCTATGTTCAAGTTTATAATTCTTTCTTCCTCCAGTTCGAATCTACTGTTGAATCCCTCCAGTGTTCCTTATTTCAATTACCAAACTTTTCAACACCACTCTCATTTTCTTTTGGTGTTTTCCATTTGATACAACAGTGTCACAACTTCCTTAGCTAATTGTAGCCTGTTTTCCTTTAGTTTGATGAATATATTTATTATTTCTATTATTAAGTCTTTTAAATATGACATCCGGTCATTTTTTAAAAATAAATATTTATTTATTGAAAGTCAGAGTTACGGGGCGGGGGAGAGAAACACAGGGAGAAAGATCTTCCATCTGCTGGTTTCCTCCCCTAATGGCAGCAATCGCTAGTGCTGGGCCAGGCTGAAGCTAGGAGCCAGAAGCTTCATCCAGGTCTCCTACATGGGTGCAGGGGCCCAAACAATTGGGCCATCTTCCACTGTCTTTTTTAAAAAAGATTTATTTATTTATTTGAAAGTCAGAGTTACATAGAGAGAGGAGAGTCTTCCATCCGCTGGTTTGCTCCCCATTTGGCTGCAACGGCCGTAGCTGCACCATACAGAAGCAAGGAACTAGGAGCTTCTTCTGGGTCTCCCATGCAGGTGCAGGGGCCCAAGCACTTGGGCCATCTTCTAGTCCTTTCCAGGCCATAGCAGAAAGCAGCTGGGTCTTGAACCAGCTCCCATCTGGGATGCCACACTGCAGGCATAGCTTAACCCACTATGCCACAGTGCTGGCCCCTTCCACTGCTTTTACAGGCACATTAGCAGGGAGTTGGATTGGAAGTAGAACAGCCAGGACACAAGCTGTGCCCAAATGGGATGCAGGTGTCACAGGCAGTGGATTTATTTGGTATACCACAACACTGGCCCCAGATATCTGTTTACTCACAGGCAGTTTCTGTTGCTTGCTTTTTCCCTAGTGTACAGTGTTTCTGGTTTCTGTGCATGCCTCCTAACTTTTGATTGGAAACTGTACATTTTAAATAATGAAAAAGAAATGAATTGCATGTGTTGTCAAGAATGTAGAAGAACTAGAGTTTTCATACTGTTTCTGGACATTTAACTTGATATAGCCAATTTATAAAAGGTTGATATATTTTCTTTATTGCCACAGTAATTCTGCATAATAAACCACCCAAACATAATGGCATTAACAACAGTACTAATTTTTCTCAGACGAATCAATTTTGGGGATATCAAAGATTCTGCTAGTCTATGGTACACTGGATTGTGGGTTGGTGCCAATTAAATTCTCCAGATAGATGTGTTCCAGAGACACAGGCTGAAGAGTTAAGAGTTACATAGAACAGTCTCCTCATGTGAATCACTTGAGGAAAAAAACCAAACCAAACTACACAAGCATAGGTAAGATTCCTGCTGTGTCATGTCCAACAGTCTTTTTCAAAAGATGTATTTGTTTATTTGAAAGGCAGAGGAGAGAGATATCTTCCATTCACTGGCTCACTCCCCAAATGATCATAACAGTGAGGTTTGGGCCATGACAAAGCTAGCAGCCAAAAACTCCATCCCCAGCTTTCAAAGGTGTCAGGGCCAGGAAGGAAGCTAGATCAGAAATGCAAACTAGCATTTCTTTTTTTTTTTTTTTTGACAGGCAGAGTGGACAGTGAGAGAGAGAGAGAGACAGAGAGAAAGGTCTTCCTTTGCCGTTGGTTCACCCTCCAATGGCCGCCGCGGCTGGCATGCTGCAGCCAGTGCATCACGCCGATCCGAAGCCAGGAGCCAGACAGAATCCGGCGCCCCAACCGGGACTAGAACCCGGTGTGCCGGTGCCGCAAGGAGGAGGATTAGCCTAGTGAGCCGCGGCGCCGGCCGCAAACTAGCATTTCAATATGAGATGCCTTCATGGTAAGCAGTAGCTTAATCCAGTGTGCTACAACACCTGCCCCATGTCTAACAGTCTATCAGCCAAAGGAACTCACTTAACCAAGCACAGCATCAATGAGGTAGACAAGTAAATTGGGCCAAGGCAGTGGTGGAGTGGGGTGGGAGATAAATATTTATGGAAATAAAAATTCAAATTATATGAATATTCCAGCATTCTACTTCTAGGTATACACCTAAAACAAACAAACATACATGTGTGCCAAGAGATACAAATGTTCATAGCAGCTTTATGCATAATAGTCAAGAACTGGAAGCAATCCAATGTCCATCAACAGTACACTGGATAAACAAAATGTGCTACATCCACAAATTCAATGAGAATGAAAGAACAAGTACATCCCAAACCATAGGCACCACAAACATGCATGAAACTATTCAATTTATATAGCAGTTAAACCACAAGCAAACTAAATGATACAGTTTAAGTATGTATGTTTAGGTAGCAAATATATTTTTAAACGAAGTAAAAAAAAGTGGTTAGATTTGTTATCAAGGAAGGGGAGTAGTTTTAGTTTTCTGCTGATAGAACAGACTACTGGGTAAATTTGCTTCATGGGTTCCAAAAGATAATTAGTCCAAGTTCATGAGCAACATCTAGTGATGGCTTGCCTCTATCCTCGCACCTTACTCACAAGTATTTCGTTTCTTTTTATTGTTCTCCTTGATTTTATTTTTATAGAAAGGTTTTATTTAATAAATATAAATTTCGTAAGTACAACTTTTGGATTATAGTGGTTCTTCCCCCCATACCCGCCTTTCCACCCCCAAACCATTCCATCTCCGACTCCCTCTCCCTTCCCATTCTTCATTTAGATTCATTTGTTATTATCTTTCCAGTCTCTTTTCACAGCAAGTATTGTTTCCTGAAATTGTATTTTGTTAAGGCTGGTTTACTGGTGAAACCACCTCTAGAAGAAATTGCATTATGGGTAAGATCCTTGTCTAGCTTGATCACGATTGCGATCCCAGTGTCGAATACAGAATCTAACCACAGAAAAATCAATCAACCAAGGACAAAACTCTGTATTCCCATCACCCAGCACAACCCCCGGGCTCATGGTTAATTGTCAGTAGGCTGAGTCTCTCGTTGATACTCACCACGGGGATGGACAGACTTGAATTAACGCTGTATTAGATCACGTTAGCTCACTCTACTTAGATTAATATATTTTTAGAAGTATTTTCCGAGAGAACCAGCTCAGTGAAGCGTGTCACGACAGTTAACATTTAGTAAATCAAAACACGGGCGAGACTTCAGAAATGAAGCATTACGACCAGACAAAAGACGCGTCGTCGCGGTAGCTGCTGAAGGAAACTCAGAGTGCAACGCAACAACCCCACAGCTCCCGAAGCTCCACCAAGGCGGCGTTCCCGCCTCTTCCCATGGACGCCTTCCGTATCCGGCCTGGCGCTAGCGTCGCGAGATGCCGCGAGAACGCCGGGCTCAGCGGTCTCATCCGGAGCGAGCCGGCGCTTCACGCCTGCGCAAAGGGGAGACGCGAGCGCCGCGTGGACGCCGAGCGCAGCCGGCGCCGGCGCTTTGGCTACTCCCCAGTGATTGGTTCCTGTCTTCTGGGACGCTGCAGTATAGTTTTCACTTTCTCTCTTCCTTCTTCTTCTTCTTCTTCTTCTTCTTCTTTTTTTTTTTTTGTCTCAGTCCTTTTCCTTTGGCCACAAGGTTTTACTTCCGGTTGCTGGCTCCCGTCAGCGATAGAGTCGACATGTTTCCTCAGGCGGCCCGGCGGCCGGGGAATGGTTCTCGCTTGTGACCCTGAGGGGAGACTGGGCTCTGTCCCGGTGCGACGTGGAGAACGCGGGGTTCCTCTGAGGAAGTGCTGCTTTCGGGAAGCGCCGGAGCAAGCACTCGATTTTGTGCACGCTTGCCGGTTGGCAGGAGCGGACATGGAAAAGCATGGGGAGGAAACTGAGCCGTGATCTGAAGTTCTCGGGGACGGCCGCCGCGCCAAGGACAGGTAAATTCCCTTCTCGTGTTAGGGCGCCCTGGTCTCGGACCTCCGGACGCTGCTGCGAGGGAGAGAGCCAGTTCCCGAGGCTGAACGCGCAGCGCAGCTGTTCGGAATTGTGTGGTGCGCGTGGGGAATTCGCTTGCGTGTTTGGGGTGCTGGGTGGCCGGCGCGTTCTTCTGGCTGCGAGCTGAGGGGGTGAGGGGTGGGGCTCGGCGATACTCGGAGTCTTAACTGCTTGGGCGCTTTCTGGATGACAGGACCTACTACAACCTGTGGCAGGTCTCAGTTTCGCCAGCGTGGAGATGTTGACCACGTTACGTGTCCGTACGCGGTTTCGAAGTTTATCTTTCCCCCTGTTGGAGGGAGACGATCTAGAAAGTCTCGGGCTTTCCGTTTGCGTCGCTTGTCAGAGGTCGGCTGCGTCCCTAGAGATAGGATAATAAAGTTCTTGGCTGGAGTTTTTCTCCTTGGGTTTGGACTGGCTAGGAAATCTTTTTTTTTTTTATGGTTTTATTTTTTTATTTTAACTTTTATTTAATGAATATAAATTTCCAAAGTACAGCTTATGGATTACAATGGCTTCCCCCCCATAACGTCCCTCCCACCCGCAACCCTCCCCTTTCCCACTCCCTCTCCCCTTCCATTCACATCAAGATTCATTTTCGATTCTCTTTATATACAGAAGATCAGTTTAGCATACATTAAGTAAAGATTTCAACAGGTTGCTCCCACACAGAAACATAAAGTGAAAAATAATAGATGATTTTTTAAATGATGATGAAATCAGATCAGACCTATTGTCATGTTTAATCCCAGTGAGAGTCAAGTTGGGAATTGATAATTTCTTCTTTTTTTTTTTTTTTTTTTTTTTTTTACAGAAGATCAGTTTAGTATACATTAAGTAAAGCTTTCAACAGTTTGCACCCCCATAGAAACACAAAGTGAAATATACTGTTTGAGTACTCGTTATAGCATTAAGTCTCAATGTACAGCACGCTAAGGACAGAGATCCTACATGAGGAGTAAGTGCACAGTGACTCCTGTTGTTGACTTAACAAATTGACACTCTTGTTTATGGACTCATTTTTGTAAGGGTTCTTTGTGAAGCCTGCTATTCAAGTTTCGGCAGAGACTTCGTGGCCATGCGTGACTTAAAAAAAAAAAAAAGTCTCTCTATAGAGAGAGTCATTTAACAGCAAACCCTAGTAATGCATTAGGAACATTAGAGTAGTTTGGCCCCTGTAGCCCAACAATTTGTCCGAAGGAGGTGCTAAGCAGAATTTTGTGGGAGAACGTGGCGGATAAACCTACCCATATGAGAAAGATGGTTTGAAAATTCTCAAGTTTTGTAATCCCCATTTATCTATTTGAAGTTTAAATGAAGTGCTCTTAATCTTTCTTTCTTCTCCCTGCAAGGTAAAATGAGAAGGGTAAGGTTTATGAAGATGTTTCGCAACTTGTGTTGTGCAGGTATACAGGTGTGGTATTGTTGTCACATTAGTGATCTGAGGGTGCACAGTGTTGTTTTGGGGAAATTAAGCGTTAAAAGGGAAAGAGATGAAATATTGTAGAATGTGAGACTGGTCATAATCCTACTTGAGAGGTTTGTAACAAAGCAAATCCTCCTTAATTGTGTATGAATACTCTTCTGTTGAGAAATTGCTTCATAGAAATGGATATCTGCATTCGATATTTCCAGTATGTCAGAAATTAACGCAGGAAAAGTAAAAGGTGACAGTGGTTGTACACAATTATTTTAAGGAAAACCGGTGTTTAAAATTTTGTGCTTTCAGGGCATATATCCAGAGGTAATTAATTCTCTTTAAAAATGGATGTATCATGTGCAAATCCTGTAGTCCAAACACATCTGCTTAAATGAATTCAGATCTACAAAGTGCCTAAAAACTTCCCTGAATTAATCTTTGTTAACTAAATATAGTATGGTATCTAATTAAAATAAATAGATTTTGCATGCATTTATCTTTGATTCATCTATTGGTGTTGATTAAAGTTATTTTAAGGCTTGCCCTATAGCTAACAATGATGCAGTGATGATATTTTTTTGCTGTTACAAATAATGTTTCAGGTGCTCATGACAGTATTTCTGTAGAATTTAGTCCTATGAAAATGCTGGATAATAATGCTGCTAAATTTGTTCTCTATTGAACCCTTTTATAAAAGTTTACTCTTTCAAAAGATGTGCTTTTTTTTCTTTTTTGTGACAGGCAGAGTGGACAGTGAGAGAGAGAGACAGAGAGAAAGGTCTTCCTTTTGCCATTGGTTCACCCTCCAATGGCTGCCGCGGCCGGCACATTGTGCTGATCCGAAGCCAGGAGCCAGGTGCTTTTCCTGGTCTCCCATGGGGTGCAGGGCCCAAGCACTTGGGCCATCCTCCACTGCACTCCCGGGCCACAGCAGAGAGCTGGACTGGAAGAGGGGCAACCAGGACAGAATTTGGCGCCCCGACCGGGACTGGAACCCGGTGTGCCGGCGCCGCAAGGTGGAGGATTAGCCTATTGAGCCATGGCGCCGGCCAGAAGATGTGCTTTCATCTCTACTAGCCTGTACTGGATGGTAGAAAGTATTTTTAAAATATTTTACCCATCTAACTATGGAAAATAACATCTCATTTCAATTTTTGTCTTTTTTGGTGACTAAGAAACATGAACATTTTTGGCTGGGTCATATCCTGTGCTTTTGTGCTTATTGGGTCTGAATTCTGTTCTTTGACCCATATAGCTGTTACCATATTTTTTTATTTAGTGTGGTTTATATTATATTTTGATATTTTCATTTAAAAAAAGCTTTGGGTTCTTAGTTCTTATTTTGCATTTTATTTCAGATGAAATTTAGAATCATCTCTTCAAGTACTATAGACAGTCTTGATGGGATATTGTTTGTGGTTGCAGTGAATTTGTAGACTAATTTGAGAAGAGACATTGTTTTGAGTTTTTTCCTGAGAATAGGTATGTCTCCCTGTTTCTTTTAAAAACAATTTTGTTGTGAAATACGCTATTAATATGTACTTTGTTTTAAAAAGCATATCTGTGCACCCACCTTAAAAGCACATGATGAGTACCTTAGAAAACTTTTATGTGTGTTTACCTCAGGAAGATTGCATTCCTCAGAGTGTTCATTAATTTTGTGTTATTACCTTCCCTAAAGCAACTTTACTCTCACCTGTTTTTGAACTTTACTGAAATAGACTCATACTGTACTCATGGTCTTTGAATTACTTTTGTTAAATGTCATGTTTCTGAGATTCATCTGTGTTGAATCATGTGCCTGTAGTAAACCAATTCAGAAAATTTTTGTCTCAGGACTTTTTTTTAAGATTTATTTATTTATTTGAAAGTTAGAGTTACACAGAGAGAGGAGAGGCAGAGAGAGAGAGAGAGAGAGAATGAGAGGACTTTTTAAAAACTGCTGAGTACCCCAAAGGTCTTTTGTTTATGGCTAGTATATCAAATGATAGTACCATCTTAGGTATGAGAATTGAATAATTTTAAATATATGTATTAATCAGTAACCTTTTAAAAACAAACACCACACATCTTAACATAAAATAATCATTCCCTCCCACTCCCCAAAAATAGTGACAGGTGGCATTGTTTCACATTTTTTTTGCAAATATCTTTAAGGTCACCTTTAATGACTAGTTTCATGTCTGCTACCTCATTCAGTCAGTTGCAGTGTATTGTTTTGGTTGAAGTGTAGAAAAAAATCTGGCCTCAGCAAAGTGATAGAAAAAGGGAGGAAAATTTTAATAACCTTTTTCAAGTAGTTACGTTCTTCTTTGACATTCATCAAAACCTAACAGTTTTGTAAAGGTTAGATGCATTGTAGAACTAAAACCATGCCAATGAACTTTACACTATGTGACATTCAAATTCATTAGTTTTGGGGCCAGCCCTGGGGCACAGTAGGTTAATCCTCCCCCTGTGGCTTTGGCATCCCGTTTGGGCGCTGGTTCCAGTCCCGGCTGCTCCTCTTCCTATCCAGCTCTCTGCTGTGGCCTGGGGAAACAGTAGAAGATGGCCCAAATCCTTGGGCCCCTGCACCCACATGGGAGACCAGGAAGAAGCTCCTGGCTCCTGGATCGGCACAGCTGTGACTGTTGCGGTCATTTGGGGAGTGAACCAACAGAAGGAAGACATCTCTGTCTCTACCTCTCACTGTCTGTAACTCTCTCTCTCAAATAAATAAATAAATAAAATCTTTAAAAAAAATTCAAAATCATTAGTCTTGTACTTTGAGGAACTCTTTCACTCATATAACCATGTATTGGTTATACAGATCTTCCAAATGACATATTTCTTCTTATAATATCAAAAAATCAAATGCATTAGCAATATCACTACTTTGGGAACCACTGCTGTAACTTGTTCATTTTCACTGAAATATTATAGTCTACTATAAGCATATGTGATATAGTTACCCATGATAATTATTTCTAACATTGGTGCATTCTAGTTAATTCTGCCAGGTTTCTTCCTGTTCGTGGCTCCAAATGTAATAAACAATACTTAGGCAGATTACTAGTAGAATTGGTGTATCCCCTGGGAGGCTATGTATACAACTTTATTAAATACTATCTGACTTTTCCAGAAAGGTCATTTCGGTTTTGCAGCAATAGTGAACGAAATCTCCCTCTACTCCTTTTTTTCTTCACATGTAGCATTGTCCAGCTTTTGAATTTTTGGCAGTATGGTAGAAATGAAATGATACATTAATGTAGTTGTAAACTTCCTTAATCTGCTTGCTAAAGCTAAGGATCTTTTCATATGTTTTTAGCCAGTTGAATGTTTTATGTTAAGTTTACTCATATTTTCCTCACTTTTTGTATTGGGTGCTTTATTAATTTGTAGGAGTTTGTAGAAATGTGTTATATATAAAAGTTGATGAACTCTTCCTGTTAAAAGATTCATTAACTTATTTAAATAATTAAAAACATAAAGGCATATATTGAAAAAAATCTTCCTTGAACCTCTTCAACTCATCCCCACTTTCCTAGTTTCTCCTTGTATCCTGTTCTTCCTTCCAGTGCTTTTCTGAGTATACTTACTATATTCCTTTCTTACCCTAATTTCTGCTATACTACGTTTTTCCTGCAATATATGCTGGAAGAATACCCTCATTCTACATCTTAGGAAAGCATAATTTTCCTTGTGTGTCTATATCAGGTTTTTAGCTAGTCTAATGTAAAGGGGTTATTTGGTTGTTTCTGGTCTTGCTGTTGAAGGCAATGGGACATGGAATAACATTGAGTGTTTGTTAATTTTGTGTGTAAGCAAGCCTTTATATATGATTAATTTCTGTTATGGATTACTGAGTCAAATGTTATATGATTTTGAAATGCTGAGAATTTGTACTTCTAATTGCAGTTTACTGAAGCAATTCTCCTAAAGCCTTCTCCAACAGAATACATTGCTAACCTTGTGGATTTTTTGATCTGATAAGTGAAAGTATGTCATTTTAATATAAATTTGCATTTTATTATGACTGAATTTTGAATGTCTTTTCATTTGTTGGGCCTTCCTCCCTCTCACGCCTTCTTCTCATTGGTCTATTTTTTATTAGGTTGTTTTGTTGTAGGGTATCTTTACATACTCTAAAGACTAATCTTTAATAATTAATGTGTTGCAAATACCTTATCTCTGATTTTTCTAGTCTGTGATGAGCAAAAGTTCTTAATTTTAATGTTGTCAAATCTATCAGTCTCTTCTTTATAAAAATATTCTGTATTTCTCAAAAATTTTTAGAGATTTTCATTTCATCTTTGTATGCTTAAATTGTTTGAGGGCATTTTGGGGGATAAATATAATTTAACTTTATTCTTTGTAGATAAGCAGTTGTAGAATTTGCAGTTGAATTCACTTGACCCAAAGTTTCCTTCATGGCACTTGATTGGTTAGTGATTTAATTTCTTTAGTGGTTACAGGATTACACAGTTTTTTAAAAATTATATTAGGTTTGGTAAATTTTTCTAGAACTCTATTTTGTCTAAATTTTAGTATTTATTAGCTGAGTTTAAGTGCCCTCTTGGTATCTCTAATGTCTGAAGCATGTATAATTATGTTTCTTTTCATTTTTAATGTTGACCATTTCTGTTCCTGTTGCCCTCAGTTTCTTTTGATTCATCTTACCTATACTTTAAACATTATATGAGTATTAATCTTTTGAACGAATCATACCATTTATTTCTTTTCATTAAACTTTTGAGATAATTAGATTTACTTGCACTTACATATTTTAGGTAAGTCTCTGAAATCATCTGTTGACATTTTTAAATGCAGTTTTTAATATTTTTAGGTGGAACATATAGCTCATTTACATTTAATGCAGTTGCTCTTGTTTTCTATTTGTCCTATTCTGAATTTCTTTTCTTTCTTCTTAATACCAACTTAGTATTCCATTTTCCCCATCTGCTAGTTTTGGAAGTTATATACTTTTGGTGATTTCATAGTTTTCCTAGAAATAGGCATACTTTGGCTCTCTTGTAATGAGAATTGACAAAAGGCCGATTAGCAACCCAAAAACGTTTTTTGGGGGTTTATACTGGAACAAAAGGGAGACAGCATGGTGGGAAGATGTTCCACTGACTAGTTCCCCTTGGGAACCGAAAAGCTGCTGTTATCGGGTTGGGGAGGTATGGTGCTTTCCATCCCTCAGCGTGCAGCACTTTGGTTTGCACGCTACTCATTATTAAAATGGTGTGTTGCTCCCTGCTGTCACCCCAGGAAGGGTCACATATCAATGTCATTGGGCTATTCTGGGCATTGCGTGCAGGTTAGGGAAGTCCTTTACAGGGCTGTAAGGGGGTCTTTTGCTGTTAGAGTCTGACTCTTTCTTGCTCCTGTTTGGTTTGAAGCTGGAGGTGGATACATGGCAGCTTGGGAGGGCCTTGGTTTAGTTGAGACCTGTTTCTACCCTGTCTCACCTTGAGTTTTCAAAATCTAATGTTAACCAATATCTTTACTTTTCTGTGGAAGACTTACAAACTTAATTTCATTCAACCCATCATGATTTTTATGTTAATACTTTGTAATTGAATTATCTTAAAAATTCCTGTCAGATAAAAATGAACCTGTATCAGTGCTTGCTTTTGTTTCTCACATTTTTATTGTTTTCTCTGTTATTCATTGCTTTCTAAATTATTCATTATTTTCTTTTTTTTTCCATTTTGGATAATTTCCCTTCCTTTTTTTTTTATTTTTTTTTTATTTTTTATTTTTGACAGGCTGAGTGGACAGTGAGAGAGAGAGAGACAGAGAGAAAGGTCTTCCTTTGCCGTTGGTTCACCCTCCAATGGCCGCCGCTGCAGCCGGCGCACCGCGCTGATCCGATGGCAGGAGCCAGGATCCAGGTGCTTTTCCTGGTCTCCCATGGGGTGCAGGGCCCAAGCACCTGGGCCATCCTCCACTGCACTCCCTGGCCATAGCAGAGAGCTGGCCTGGAAGAGGGGCAACCGGGACAGAATCCGGCGCCCTGACCGGGACTAGAACCCGGTGTGCCGGCGCCGCAAGGTGGAGGATTAGCCTATTGAGCCACGGCACCGGCCTTTTTTTTTTTTTTTTTTTTTTGACAGGCAGAGTGGACAGTGAGAGAGAGAAGGAGACAGAGAGAAAGGAAGATCTTTTTGCCATTGGTTCACCCTCCAATGGCTGCCGCGGCCGGTGCACTGCGGCCAGCGCATCGCGCTGATCCGAAGCCAGGAGCCAGGTGCTTTTCCTGGTCTCCCATGGGGTGCAGGGCCCAAGCACTTGGGCCATCCTCCACTGCACTCCCGGGCCACAGCAGAGAGCTGGACTGGAAGAGGGGCAACCGGGACAGAATCCGGCGCCCCGACTGGGACTAGAACCCAGTGTGCCGGCGCCGCTAGGTGGAGGATTAGCTTATTGAGCCGCGGCGCCGGCCGATAATTTACCTTCTGCTTGAAGTTTAGCCTTTAAAGTGTGTTTTACTGGCTGGCACCACGGCTCACTCGCCTGTGGCGCCGGCACCCCAGGTTCTAGTCCCGGTTGGGGTGCCAGATTCTGTCCCGGTTGCGGTGCCGGATTCTGTCCTGGATGCTCCTTTTCCAGTCCAGCTCTCTGCTGTGGCCAGGGAGGGCAGTGGAGGATGGCCCAAGTGCTTGGGCTCTGCACCTGCATGGGAGACCAGGAGGAAGCACCTGGCTCCTGGCTTCTGATCGGCGCAGCATGCCAGCCACAGCGTGCCGGCCGTGGCGGTCATTTGGGGGTGAACCAACAGAAAGGAAGACCTTTCTCTCTCACTGTCTGACTCTGCCTGTCCAGAAGAAAAAAAAAAATAAAGTGGGTTTTACTGAAGGTTGTTGAAGATGAACATTCTTAGTTTTTGTCCACCTGAAAGTGTCTATTTCATTTTTATTCTAGAAAGGTGTTTTTGCTGGATATAGAAGTTTTAGTTGGTGATTGTTTCCTTTCAGCATGCTGAAGTCCTTCTTACTTTTTCTTTGGCTACTTTTATTGCTATGAGAAATAACCTGTCTATCTGTCACTACCTTTTTGACTTTCTGACTACTTTTAATTTTTTTTTTTCTTTAGCTTTTAGCGCTTTCACTGGATTGTGTCTTCATCTTCTTTGGAATTGTTTGCTTCTTAAATCTGTAAATTAGAAATGTTTTTAAATGCACTTATTGGCTCTTCATAATTTATGAAATATGAATTTCAATTTTTATATTCCATTTATATTAATGTATAAGTAAATCTTTTATTATCTACACAATAAATATATTCTGCTGATCTTTGATTTTCTTTTCACTTTGTTTTCTACAATTTTATTAACAGAAAAGGCTTGTGAATTCTTGATCATTTGTTAAATAAAACAATAAATTTGGTCTTTTAGAACAGAGAGTAGAATTATGACTACTTCTTTCAGTCTGTTTTCATTGTTACTGGTTTATTCAAATATTTCTTCCATTTAAACCAATGTTAATTACATTTTTCTAGTTTTCAAATTTATTGATATAAATTACTTATAATTTTAGAAATTGCTCCTGTGTATTTGTGTTTGTTTACCTCTTTGTCCCCAACTCTAATTTTTCTTTTTCTCCTGATTTTATTTTCTGCAAGTGTACCTATTTTTTTTTTTAAGTTTTTTAAAGAACCAGCAATTGGCATTTTGTTCCTTTTCAGAATAACTGCCTTTATCATAAGAGATGTATCTGGGGTATCCTTGCTGTTTTCCCCTAATAATATTATAATAACATTTAATTGGAGAACTAAGTCCCTTGCTAATATTCTATGTAAAGCATCGTTGTCCTCCTTGGCATGGTGAAATAAACCCTGTTTCAAATCTGTCTTGAACACCTGCTCCCTCATTAAGAGAAGTAATTTTCAAGACTCAACTCCTAAGGTCTAGTTTGTCCAGTTAAGGTACCTACTTTATCTCTTATATCCTCCTTACTTGTGCCGAGGGTATTTGGGATCGAGCATGTCTAGGGATGGTGACAAAAATTAGCTCTGTTCTGGCCTGGACCAGATTTTACTTTTTCTTCTATGATACTTGCATGTAAATACTTGAGAGAATCCAAAGACAAGTTTTAAAATGTAATTGTAATGGAGAAAAATTTATCCTTAAGAGGAATAAAACTACTTATCATGAGTTTGCACCATTTTATCAAAGATTGACATTTTAAAGTAGGCACAAATTCATAAACCCAGTTTAATGAGGACCCAGGACAATGGTCTGTACCTTTAAATAGATGTCTAAAAGAATCACCATATAAACTTTGGTATCATTCTAATAAAATTTGCATAATCTTGAATATATAAAGTATTATAATTTATTGACCTTTTTACATGGCATAGTGAAAAAAAAAACTTTCTGTAGGTGCAAGATAATAAGCATCAATTTGATTATCAAAAATACTCTGTATTAGATAGATTTTGAGAATATTAAAACAGTGTTCAGAAATTGAATATTAAAACCAAATGTAAGCAAGCTACAGGTAAATGAAAACATCATAGTACATAGCATTGGTATAACTTATTTTACTCAATGGATATAATCTCAAAAAATGTTTTTCAAAAAGCAGTTTCTCTTCCACTGGGTAAACTAAAATACCCTAAGTAAATTTACTATTTTAAACAGCACATAACTAATTACATAATTCTTTATGGATTTAAGTCATTTGCTTTATGAGTTAAAATTATCCTTTATTGTGTTCTGTGCAACATAATAATGGTAATGATTTATAAATCCTACTTAGGTTTTCCTAGAAACTTTGGGTAAGTATCTTAACTTTTTAAAAACAGTGTTAATGAATCAGAAGTGAAGATATTCTTAGGTTGAGCCAAATACTTCACCTTCCATTCCCAACCCGATTTAATTTTATTTTTGGTGACTATTATTAGGCTGCGTAGCTTAGTGGAAGGGGGGAGCACCCCATTTCTTTCTCAGGTGCAGGTATCAACATCCTCTGAGGATAAATGACAGGTTT